TAATGACATGGATGGAGCTAGAGATTATTATGCTAAGTGAAATCAGTTAGTCAGAGAAAGGCAAATACCACATGATTTCACTCGTATGTGCAAATTAGGAAACAAAAAAATATATACAGGGCAAAAAAAGAGAGAGGAAAACCAAGAAACAGACTCTTAACTATAGAGAACAAACTGATGGTTACCAGAATGGAGGTGGATGGGGGATGGGTTAAATAGGTGATGGGGATTTTGGAGTACACTTGTGTTGAGCACCGAGTGTTGTATGTAAGTACTGAATCACCTGAAACTAATATTATAATGTATGTTAACTAACTTGAATTTAAATGAAAACATTTTAAAACTTAAGAATTCAAAAGCTAAAGTTAGATTAATTAACAAAAGTAGGGCGCCTGGGTGGCTCAGTCAGGTGAGCGTCAGACTTCAACTCAAGAGGTGATCTCCCAGGTCATCTTGAGTTCAAGCCACACATCAGGCTCTCTGCTGTCAGTACAGAGCCCACCTGGGACCCTCTGTCCTCCTCTCTGCCCCTCCCCCACTTGCATGCATGCTCTCTCTCTGTTTCTCTCTCTCTCTCAAAAATAAGTAAACATTTTTTAAAAATAACAAAAGTAAATGAATTATATACCATAGAGTTATCACTATGTACGTTATATAAGGTATATGCAGTATTTTAACAAAACGGATATCCTGAAAATTATGTCTGCTGTATCAATGTGAGCATATGTTTATAGCAAATATTATACCATAAAATTTTTATTTGGCTTATGAGTCTTTTTGGGGGTCTAAATGCTACCACACAGCCACTGATACATCAGAGAATTCAACAAATTATCTTGCAGCAAAAGTGGCAGGGGAGACTAACATGAGCCCAACTAGATACCACATTCTCTAAATAACTTCCTAATCGGTAAAATCTTAGCAATGACAAAAACATAGGTAACTTGGAGCAATTTTCTATGGCCTGACTTTGTCTGACTTTGGGCAAGAAAGGGAAATGAAAAAGAGAAAAGCATCCTCTGACATTCAGGTGAAGATATTAACAGAAAAGTATTAGAGTAAATGCAAACTGACTTGCACTTATAGCTAGATCTTCTGCTTAACTGTTGAATATAAGCAATTTTAGGAATATCAACTTTAAGCCAAGTCACTCTGTGGTCATGATGCATCAAGAAAAGACAGACCTGCTCCATAAATTATGAATGAACATAGAGAGACAAAACATAAACATTTTCCAAACAACAAAATTATCAAACATCCGTCTCATCCAGCTAATATGAGTGGCTGTTGCTTCATTATCAGTTACAGCTTAACTTCTCTCCAATCTTTCTTCTTCATATGTAAGATTTATTGAGATACTCAATCATACCTTTACTTTCTGAAAACATCAAATTCAGAAGAAAGATCCACTTCCTCAAACCCAATTGAAAATCACTTAAAACAAACCCAAATTCTATAAAAACTCTCTCAAACTCTGGAACCAAGATACCCCACCGTTTCTCGTAGTGCATAGTTTCACTGATTGCTGCATGTAATAAACTAAGGATTCCAGTAAGGGTAGAATTCTAACTGAAACACACACACACACACACACACACACACACACACACACACGGAGAGAGGGAGAGAGAGAGAAAGGGAGAAAGAGAGGGAGAAAGAGAGAAATGTAACCAGAAAGGGAACAATTGTATGATAATTGAGCTTTAACAATGGGAACTATATCAAGAGATATTGTGAATTGGGATATATCCAACATCTCTTAGGTTAAATAATCAGATGGCAGAACTAAAAATGGGCCTCGTGTCAATTAGGTGCCCAGAAATTAAAAGGAGCTTAGCACTGAAGTGTGCATAAACTTCACCATAAATCTTGTCTGACCACTGAACTCAGCATGTACAGTGAAGACTCCAGGGAGTTCATAAAAAGCATCTAAAGAGGCATAAGAAATAAGAGGCATAAAGCATCTTAAGAGGCATAAAGAAATAAACAGTATTTCAACTACAACTCACAGAAGGGTATTGTTTATAGTGTGAGTTCAGCTACGTTAAATCCCTTCCACAACAAAATTCTATTGCTTTCAGGAAGCATAAATGAATGAAAAGTTTCCATTATGTATTACTCATAGCATCCAATACAAAGTAAAAAAAAATGTATACATGCCAAAAGAAATGAGACATAGCCAAGGAGCAAATAAATCCCTAGATACCAATATCAATATGATTCAAATATCAATTAAGAGAGAAGCACTGTATAGCAGCTAATATAAAAATGATCAATGATTAAAGGAAAATACAATCATAATCACTAGAAGGTTTTCTTTAGTCAGTAAATGCAATTTTTATACATGATTTTTAACAAATAACTTCTGCATATTTGAGTTTGAACATATAAGAAATGTACTAAAATGTACTTTATGGTGTGTAATCAGAAATAATCACTGTAAGTTCATGTTTTAAATGCAGAGATATAAAGGAGCAAATAAATAATTGTATGATACATGTATGTGCATATATTACATGTGTGTTCTAGCTCTGTTGACTGAGAAGGTGCAGAGGTAATAAAAAATAGTGCAAATAAGCACATCTGTTGCCCAGATATTTATTTTTTAAATATTATTCTCTACTAAAAGAATATAGGCTACTTGGATAAATAGCTGAATACAGATTAGGGGCAGGAAAAGCATAACAGGAGCCTAGAATATTTTGTGCTAGAAAAATGTGAAAGTTCTTTTTTTTTTTTTTT